TGTGTGTGTGTGTGTGTGTGTGTGTGTGTGTGTGTGTGTGTGTGTGTGTGTGTGTGTGTGTGTGTGCATGTTTTTTTTGCTGCGCTGTCATCAGAGAGGCGGCAGACATTTTTCAATGTCGCCGATTCTGATGGAGATGCTATCGCTCGGCGCCTCACGGCCATCCATCCCCTTCACTTAGCTAATAGCCACGCCGCGAGAACGAGCCATCGACAGCAAGAGTAAGAGACGAGTGGAAGGTAAATATGTCGCCGCCGCACTCCTCTAACAGTCAGGAAATTATACGATTTATTCGCTGATGGCAAATATTGATTTAAAAAAGGGGATTGGTGGGGGGAGGGAGGAGGCAGGGGTTGTTGTGTTGTTGTTGTTTGTTTGAAGGATGCCACTGAACCAAAGTCAAAGAAAAGAAGGAGAGAGAGAGAGAGAGATAGACACGGCGATTAAAATGCATGAGATCCGAACTTTGAGATAAGTGCTGAGAGAGGGATCTTGGAGACGATGGAGGGGAGAGGGGGAGAAATGGGGTGAGGAGGAGGGGGGGAGGGAGGAATGCATGGATGGATAGTTGTGATGTATTCATGCCTCGAGTCAATCTCCATGCAAGGATGGACTGAGATCCACGGGCCTGAGGACGGAGGAGGAGGTAGACAAAGAGAAGTGTGTGTGTGTGAGGGAGAGAGAGAGAGAGGGAGACATGCGGTAAATAAGAGGACGAGGTGATGTCCACGCTAACACACTCTGGAGATGTGACAGGCTGTCAGACACTGGGAACTGAACTTCAAGAGAAACATGCGAGCAGCACTGATGACTGCTCAGAGACTCAGGAGGCACACAACTTTTCCTACAGTGTGTGATATACGTTTGTGTGCGTGTACATGTTCTGCAGAGGCTAACATGTGACTCATTTGTTTAATTCTGGAACATAGTGACGTAACAATCGTGCATCTGTTGGTAAGGGCTCCAACATATTGAACTAGGAATAAGTGTGCAAAATATTTAAATTGTATTTTCGGACCCTGAACGAGACCGCCGGCAGAAGGAAGCCATGCAGGCAACGCAGCGCAGGAGGTGAACCTCTAGGCCCCGCTCTCTTTAACTCAACTTTCTGCTGCTTTCCTCCGTGGCAGTACCCATAAGGAGCTGCACATGCCGCCGTTTTTGCGTGGCTGTGTCTTTAGTTGAAAGCCCAGTGGCGATCTGCTCATCTGTCATCGAAAATAACATGCTACACAGGGGCGGACCAGCGGGCCGTTGACGACCGGCTCGGATTGCTGACGGCCGGCACCGCCCTTTATTTATTTAATTGTGTTTAAACTGCATCATGTAAGTTGCGCTGATAGGCGACAGAGGTCCACAGCTTCCCCGCAGCGAG